AGTTAGGAACAAGCCGGCTGAGTTTTCATAATTAATAAGAAATCTTCATGTCATTATTTGGGAGCTGACAGGACAGAGAAAGACTCATTACAGCACCCCCATCAAAATATCCTTTCATTGTAAAGTACTGAAAACATTTTTCCATAGTATTTTACCATCTTTTTCAATTGTGTTTTTCTTAGGTTCTTCACACACCTGGATTTGTGTATGCCTTTGTGCATGTGTGCACGTGTGTGCACGTGTGTGTGTGTGTGTGTGTGTGTGTGTGTGTGTGTGTGTGTGCGCACATACACATGTGCGTGTGTGAGATGGGAGGCTTGCAGTTTCTGCTTGGTGAGGCAGCGGTCTCACTGTGCTGTAGGGAAGCACACCGTATAACATTTCTGTAACAAGTCTTTCTCTGTCCTGCCAGCTCCCAAATAATGACACAGAGACTTATTACTTATGAAAGCTTGACCTTAGCTTAGACTTGTTTCTAATTAGCTCTTATAACTTAATTAACCCATTCTATTTATCTATGTGCTGCCATGTGACTCGTGGCTTTTACCTCTCCTCCTCCATGTTCTGCTTCCTCTGTGTCTCTGCCTTTCTTCTTCCCAGTGCTCTCTGTCTAGAAGTCCTGCCTAGACCTCCTGCCTAGCTATTGACCATTTAGCTTTTTATTAAACCAACCACAGTGACACATCTTCACAGTGTAATCAAACATCTCACAGTACGTTGCCTCTGTCATATAGCAAGATTCTAAATATATGTGGCTTTATTGGGGGGGCTTACAATTTTCTTCCTCTATCATCAAGCTTTATTTTCTATCTATCTATCTATCTATCTATCTATCTATCTATCTATCTATCTATCTATCTATTTATTTATTTATTTATTCTTGTCTTGCTGTGTTGTGGGTTTTTCTATTTTAGGCTTTTTAGTGTGTATGTGTGTGTTCTGGCTGTTTGTAGACAAGGCTGTCCTGGAACTTGCGATCCTCCTGTCTCCACTTCTTTTCTCCTAGGATTGCAGACATGGGACACCATGTCAGGGCTTACCATAAGGTTTGATATCTCATCATTACAGTTTCCCTGCCTTGCTCATTTTTTTTCCATGCTTATCTTGTCTATTCCTGGCGCTTTGTTCTTCTATGGAATTTTAGAATCAGCTTACCAAAGCTAATTTTAATCATGGATTTCCTATTGAAATCTCAACTGGAATTATACTGAAAAGAATTTCTTATCTTTATAATATTGATTCCTTTCATCCTCAAACACAAGGGCTAGGGAGTTGGCTCGATGGATGAGCAAAGCATGAGGACCTGAATTCAGATCCACAGCACCCATATAAAAAGCTGGGTGTTTTGGTACATACCTGTAACCCCATGCTGGGAAGGCAGAGATAGGAGAATCCTTCATGTTCCTGAACTGTTAGTTCTAGGTTCAGTAAGAAACCCTGTCTTAAAGAATATGGGAGAAGGCAATTGAAGAAGACAGCTGATTCTGACTTCCAGCTTCTAAGTGCACATGGGAACCCACCCCCCCCACACACACACAAAAGATACGTAACTTCATATGTCTTTGTTTTGCTTAGGTTGGATCCATGACCTTGAGTATAGTGCGAAGCATATACTCCAATACCCTCCTAGGCTCTCAGCATCTGTAGTTTTCAGTTCTTTGTTGCTGTTATTTCTTTCTGGTTTTGATTTTAAGTCAAGGTTACATGTAGCCCAGCTGGTCTTGATTCCTGACCCTCCTGTTTCTACCCACCAGGTGCTACCATGCTGAGTTCTTTCTATTTTGTTTTGTTTTGTTGAGACAGGGTTTCTCAGTGTAGCTCTGGCTGTCCTGGAACTCACTCTGTAGACCAGGCTGGCGTTGAACTCAGAGATCCATCTGCTGCCTCTGCCTCCAAGTACTGAGATTAAAGGCATGAGACACCATGCCCAGTGGCTTGGTTCATTTTATTTAAAAAATTTTTATTTATGTCTCTAACTGTGTATGTCTGCACATATGTGCCATGTGAGTATATGCACACATGAATGAAAGTCTCTAAGAGGCTAGAAGATGGTATCTAGTCTCATGGAGTTATAGTTACAGGGAGTTATAACCCACTTAATGTGGGTCCTGGGAACTCCAGGCCTATGCAAGAGCAGCAAATACTCAATTGCTGAGCCATCTCTACAGCCTCATCAATTGATTTTTTTAAATGTTGCTTAATAATGTGATATAAACCAGTTAATTAATTAACTTTCCAGGTGACATAAAATAACAATTTTCTCAAGTTAAAAATATTTTGATTATATATTTAATTTCTAATGCACATAAATACTATTTTATTATACTTAAATTTTTATTACATTTATTTATTCAGTGTGTGTGTGTGTGTGTGTGTGTGTGTGTGTGTGTGTGTGTGTGTGTGTATAGGATTGTATGCCATGTAGAAGTCAGAGAACAATTTGTAGGAGTTGGTTCTTTCCTTCTATCATGTGGGTTCCAGGCATGAAACTCAGGCCATCAGGCTTGGTAGGCTTACCCACTGAGCCATCTTGCCAGTGCTGAGCTCAGGGCTTTCTGGCCTATACCACCACACCCAATCGTATTTCAATTCCTTGGGTTTTTTTAAAGGTTTATTTTTGTTTATGTGTATGGGTTTTGTTTTTTTTTTTTTTTTTTTTGGTTTTTTCAAGACAGGGTTTCTCTGTGTAGCTTTGCGCCTTTCCTGGAACTCACTTGGTAGTCCAGGCTGGCCTCGAACTCACAGAGATCCACCTGCCTCTGCCTCCCGAGTGCTGGGATTAAAGGCGTACGCCCGGCGTGTATGGGTATTTTGACTGTGTGTCTGTGCACATGCATGCAGTGCCCTTGGAAACCGAAAGAGGGCATTGGTACCTTGGATCTGGAGTTGCAGACCGTTGTGAGCTGTCTTGTGGTGCTAGGAATGGAACCCTGGTCCTCTGCAAGAGCAGTCAGTACTCATAACAACTGAAATTCCAACCTCCTTGTTTCATTTCTCATGCCTTGATAATAAAGGAAATAAGATATTATTTTATGTTTTTATCTAATTAGATTAGGACCTCTCAGAAGTGGATGTTTTGAAGCTAGCTCTTTTAGGAGTTCACTGTTGATAACTTTTTTTAAATGGTAAAGTCATTTTCTTGAAAAACTGGTCTGCTTTACACTTCCAATTCATAAAAATAGATACCAAAGTTCCCAGATGACATCACAAAATAACTAACAAACAGCAAGCCAGCATCTCCTGACCCAGAGATGGGTCTGTTCCTCTCCCTCCATACAAAACATAACAGCAGTTGAGATGCTGCAGAGAAGGCTTGGCAGTTAAGAGCATGCATGACTCTTGCAGAGGACCTGAGTTTGGTTCCCAGCACCCATGTCTGGTGGTTCACAACTGCCTATAACTCCAGCTCCATGGGCTCTAATGCCTCTGACCTCTGACCTCTGAGAGCACATGCATTTACATGCACCTCCCACACACATCCCAGTTCATGCACATACATGTAATTTAAATATAACCACAGGGGCTGGAGAGATGGCTCAGTAATTAAGAGCACTAGCTGTTCTTCCAGAGGACCTGGGTTCAGTTCCCAGCACCCACATGGTAGCTCACAATGTCTGTAACTCTAGTTTCAGAGGATCTGACACCCCCCACACAGACATACATGCAGGCCAAACACCAATGCACATAAAATTAAAAAAAAAAAAAGAATTAAATATAACACAGTCAAGAAAATCAGGACAAGAAGAGGTGGAATCTGAATTCATATATTTTGGATTCAAGGACTGATTCCGATACATGGAAGTGTGGGGATTTGGGTAAGTGATCTCTCAGAACATCAATTCTGTCTTCTGTAAAACAAGGGGATCGGAGTGCTAGCTTTCACAGTGACATTGGTAAGTGTTTTATGTTTAGCAGTCATTCAATAAGTAGTATTAATTTTTATCAACCTAGCTGCTGATTATGCTTTATTTATTTATTTATTTATTCATTCATTCATTCATTCATTCATTCATTCATTTGAGACGTGGTCTAGGCTGGCCTCAAACTCCGTATGTAGCCAAGAATGATTTTGAATTTCAGATCCACCTGCCTCTACTTGTGCGCTAGGTTTATGCAGTGCTGGGGATAAGGACCCTAATCTTTGTGTGTCTTATGCAAGCATTCTACCTACTTAGCTGTGTTCTCATCCCTTACCTCTTAAATATATATATAAACACACACATATATTTAAAGTGTGTGTGTAGGTCAGAATTTGGTGCAAGGTGTCTTAAGGGTAGCAAGTCCTAGGGATCCTCCTGTCTTCACTCCCAGCGCTGGCATTAGAAGTGTACAGTGCTGCACCTGCTCTTAATGTTGGTTCTGGAGCTCAGATTTGGGTCCTCAGGCTTGGGCTGTGAATGCTGTACCAGCTGAACCCCACTGACAGCCCTGGCCCTATATTTTAATGCTGCCATGTTTGGTCATTATGATTATTCTCCAGGTTTGTAAAGATCAATGTTTCAAATAGCTTTGTTGGCCATGTGCCCCAAAATATTTTCGTCTCTCTTGTTCCTGTCCATACAAAACACACAAGATTCACACAGGTGTACACACACACACACACACACACACACACACACACACACACACACACACGGTGTCTGCTTCCCCCTTTTTATTCAAATCATATACATAAACTCACAGAACTCACCAGCTGGGGTCCACACTCCTTCACAAAGCACACACCATCAACAGATACACTCTGGCTCACCAATCACACTTGAAACCTACCAGCTCTCTGGCAGATCCCAAGCCACCCACAATGCTAGATCCATTCACGCAAAGCCTATTCACTGGCTCCAATATGGGCAGTTACCTTATTCTTGCTTCCTTTAGGGATGATTTTATTTTAGTTGTTTTTGTTTTTGTTGTTCCAGAGAGTTTATCATCTGTCCCTCCTTCTCCCTACCCAGCCCCCAAACCTCCCCCCTCCAGCCTCCATTGCGCATGTGTTATGCATCCCTCCCCCATCCTGGGTACCAGTTGGGCGCTTTCGGGTGCTGGCAGTTGAAGAGATGGAACAGCTTCCTCAGGAACGCCCAGCCCCTTAAAACGCTGCTGACCAGAGCCACCCTCCTCCCTGCAGCCTTCAGCAGGGATGGAATGAAAGGGGACCCCTTGACCTGCCTGCGGGGATCAGCAATGGAGTTAAAGCAATCTCTGTCTATCCATCTGGAAGCCGAGAAGCCTCTGAGGCGCTATGGGGCGGTGGAGGAGACAGCATGGAAAGCGGAGGGACTGGGAAGTAAGTGTTTGGGCAGGGAACGGGAGGGGGACAGTTGGAGACCCTGTGCTGAAGCTGGTGGCCCCTAGTGCGCGAGGAACGTGGGTGAGCAGACGGAGGAATCGCCCGGAGGAATCGCCCCCGCAGCCAGGCTTCCAGTGTTGCACAGCAGCGGTGTTCTCCCTACAAACAAAGAGGGGACCCTCCAGGGCTGGGCTGCACCGGGAGGCTCCTCGGGAAATCACAAGGCAGCTAAGCCAGGAGGAGCCTGGCTGGATTAGGGAGTCCTAGATCTGGGAGCCGGAGACTGCTCTTGCAAAGGACAATCTTTCTTGCAGCCTAGGAAGGAGGATGCTAGGGCGTTGAGATGCTTGAGGGCGCAGGAGCCAAGGGTCAGTTTGGGAAGCGCCCACGTACTGGAGATGGGGGAGTGTCTGTTTGCTCTTCCTGCCTTGAGGTCTGGGGCATAGCAGAAATCCCAGCATCTTCCCACCTCCTCCTGGGTCAGAGGAGAAGGGAAGGAGCAAGCAAGGGCAAGGTCAGCCCTGTGCACCGCCCCCCCCCCCCCCCCCCCACGCTTCTAGTCCTTGACTTGATGATCCGATTTGGTTTGAGTTCAGCCTTAGCAGGCGGTTTTGAAACACACCTCGGCACTCATCGGTTCTCTCTATGGTGTTTTGGTATCAACAGACATTGCTAAATAAATCCAAGACTTTTGCCTTCAGTTTGTTGGACACGATACTTAAAACTGCAAAGTGTGGAGGCTGGAAAGTCTAGAGTTACTGATGTTCCTGCAACCCTAGGGGCTTCCCAGTGTCCTCCACCCCCATCTCCTGCTCTGCTATGGCTTGCTCAGGAGCCTTGGTGTATGTAGCCTGCCAGGCTGGGAAAAGCCCTCTTGTCTACCTGCCCTGCTCTGGGTCTCTGGGCTCAGTGCTCATTCCCAGCACCATTCCCTGAGTTACATGTATTTAAAGTATTGTAAATACGCTTCTCTCTCTCTCTCTCTCTCTCTCTCTCTCTCTCTCTCTCTCTCTCTCTCTCTCTCTCTCTCTCTCTCTCTCTCTCTCTCTCTCTGTTTTCTTCATACTTGTAACTATGCACTCAACAGCTTAGCTATACTGTGTTTGGATTTCAAGTTCAAATGTCTTCATTACTGATAGGATGGGTGTCCTAATCCTTCTGATCTCTTTCCTTCTTTCATTTTCTTTCTCCTTTTAAGACCTGGGTCCATTCTTCTGCTTCATCCTTTCTAACTCATTGGCTTTGGCATTTTGAGGTAACCTCAAGGCTGCAGGTCAGTTTTACAAGCTCAAAATAATACCACCAATGGATGCCTTTTATTGTTAGGTTGCTATATCCTGAGAACTTCAGATACACCATCTCATTAATTACTGTTACCACCTTGTGTGGCCTGTAACACCGCTTGCATGAGAGGGCCAGGGCTTGCTAGGTAATGCAAACGGAATTGATAGACCCAGGATTCGGACGCAGGTTAGTTGGACTCTACACATTTTTCATGAAGGTTTACTGCTTTCACAGTTTCAGGAAACTTCCTAGGTCTATTTCAAAGATGGTCAGTGCTGGGCGGTGGTGGCGCACACCTTTAATCCCAGCACTTGGGAGGCAGAGGCAGGCGGATCTCTGTGAGTTCGAGGCCAGCCTAGGCTACCAAGTGAGTTCCAGGAAAAGGCACAAAGCTACACAGAGAAAGCCTGTCTCGAAAAACAAAAAAAACAAAACAAAAAAAACAAAACAAAACAAATCAAAGATGGTCAGTGATTTTATAAGCAGATAGTGGCCCTGTTGGTCCCTGCAGTCCACAATGCTTGAAAGAAGGTTGGGTCCCCATAGAGTAGAAGCAGAGCACAGTTGAGGAATCTCAGACTTGACTAAGACTTTCTGACTGACCATGTGACAAGGTATGTTTCTGTCATTACTTTGCCTCTTCTTTCAGAGTGGGGATAATATCATGGACCATATGGCTTTATCATGAATATTAAATAAGATGGTGCTCAGGTGAGTTCTCAGGACACAGCTATGTTTCAATAGTTCCTCCTCCATCCATAGAGGGAACTCCTCTCATCCTTTCCATGAAACTGCACAAAGTAAGACTGCCTTAAAACTGCAATATTGGGCAGATCTCTGTGAGTTCTAGGCCAGCCAGGTCTATTTAGCAAGTTCCAGCCCACCAAGGGCTACAAAGTAAGACCCTGTCTCAAAGTGAAAACCAAAAGCAAACTGAAATATTGAGCGGTTCTCTAACAGCAGCACCTGTCCCCAAGGTCTCATGAAACCCAGACTGGCCTCAAACTCTGTAGCCGAGGATGACCTTGAACTCTTCTCCTGTCTCTCCTCCCAAGTGTTGGGATGCAGGTGTGCACCAGCTCACTCAGCTCCTTCCTAGCATTTCTCTTACAGATTTTCATTTCTTGCCTTTTTATTGGGGAAAACCAAATTCAAGCATGTAGGGAAAACTGAGGTATGAATCCAATTTATGCCACATGAGTCCCTGAAAATTTTGTACTTCTGAGTCCTGGCTGTAAACTCCCTGACCCTTTCTGTTCCAAACCATCCAAGACTCTGAGACTTGCCTGGTGGTTCAATGGCAGATCAGTTTCTTATGTGCCTTGGCACAGATCCCCAAACATATCCCCTAGCTCTTTAAGCTATTCACATTTGAAATCTTCTCAAAGCTCACTTTGGAAACTGGAATCTGGCAAGTTTGAGTATTTTTTTTTCTTTTTTTTGGTTTTTTGAGACAGGGTTTCTCTGTGTAGCTTTGCGCCTTTCCTGGGACTCACTTGGTAGCCCAGGCTGGCCTCGAACTCACAGAGATCCGCCTGGCTCTGCCTCCCGAGTGCTGGGATTAAAGGCGTGCACCACCACCGCCCGGCTAAGTTTGAGTATTTTGATTCCTGTCTACAATCAGGCACTTTGGGATTTTTGTTTGTGCATAAACATCCTCTCAACTCCCAAGAGATCTATAGAGCCTTCCCATAGGTCTGGGCCTCTATTTACTTATTAATGAAGTGTGGAAATTGGTAATCCTGGTGCTGTGGCCAATCTAGTGCCAAGCCAGAGCTGTGACCCTTGACATGTTGAAGGAAGGAAGAGCCCATTAAAAAGGTTCTGCTTCACTTCTGCATGCATTCCAAGGTTTTTAAGAACTAACAGAGGGGAAAGGTGGTAGACGTGGTTGCTTTTAGCTGAGATTGTATTAACTGCTTCCTTTCATTTCAGCGAGAATATTTAGAGTATTTATGTACTCTGACTTATTTACAGACAGGGTCTCACGTAGTCCAGGCTCGCCTCAAACCTGCTATATAGCCAAAGATGACTTTGTAATGTAGAGGTAAGAGGACAATTTGTAGAAGTCAGTTCTCTTCTATCATGTAGATACCAATCAAACTCAGGTCATCAGGGTTGATGCCAAGAGTCCTTACTGGCTAAACCATTAAATTAGCTCTTGACCTTGAACTGATCCTCCTGCCTCTACTCCTAAGTTTATGGGTATAAACCACCATGCCTGGATTTGCATTGATGGGACTCAAACTTGGGGCTTTATGCATGCTAAGCAAGTGTTCTACCAACTGAACTACACCCCAGCTCTTAACTATAGCACTTACTTTATTTACTATCATTATTATTTGTGGTACTGGATCCTGAACACAAGGCCTTGTGAATGCTAGACAACCGCTCTATCACTAAGTGGTATTTTAAAGTCATCTAGGCCTTGAACCTACACTGTAGTCCAGGTAGGACTTGAACTTGGAACCCTCTTAGGCCTGTACCACCTGGTGCAGCTTCAGGTCCAGTTTTTAGATGAAGAAATGTAATGTACTATAGTTATAGTAGAAAAGAACAGAAGAGGGGTATCTAAGGGTAACAGAAGTGGCTGCCATCTAAGCACTGGGGTGGAGAGGCAGGAGGGACTGGAGTTCAGGCTCATGCTTGGCTACAAAGAGAGTTTGAGGCCATACCTGTTTCAAAAACAAATAACTAAAAGTGAAAGAATAGGAGTTTGAAGCCAGGTGAGGTGAGTTCAAACTTGCCCTTGCCCTTTCCAGCTCTGTTACGATGGGCATATAGTTGAAACTATACTACTGGTTGTTTTATCTGTAAAATGGTAATAAATGGGACTGAAGAGATAATTCAGTAGTTAAGGGCACTGACTAAGTTCAGTTCCCAGCACCCACGTTGGGTGGTTCGTAACCCTCTGTACCTCCAGCTCTAGGAAACCTGACACTGTCTTCTGAGCTATGCAGACACCCGCATTTGTGAACACACAAATAAATAAACTAAATGCTCTAAAATGAGAATAATAATAGTAATGGATGTGTGGGGTTCTTGGAGGACAGAATGAAGTCATTTAACACACAGCCCCAGGTCAATGCCAAATGGTTGTCATAATAGGAACCAAGTAGAAGCCCCTTGTATCTGCAGAGGTTATTGAAAAGCCGTAAAGTGTGGATAATGACTGTGCCTATGCTACCTTCTTCACAGAAGTGTGTGCAGAAAGACTTTTTAGTACCTCAGCCCTGCCTGTACTCTTTTTCAGTTTTAGGAATTGAACTAGGGCATCATGAATGCTAGAAAACCATCTAGTATTTCCTCAGTTGAAACAGAGTCAAGAAATAGCTTCTATTAACCCTTTCCCCCCCTCAACCCTTACCAGGTAGCCCAGGCTAGCCTTAAAGCTGAGCTTCTGGCTCCACTCCACCTCCCACCACCTTTGACAGCATTTTTCCATAAGCAGTGAGGTGTTTTTTTTTTAATAACTCAGTTGGAAAATGCATAGTGACATTTCACTGTGGCAAGATCTATAAAAATATTGCTTTCAACTGACTGTACTTAATTAAGGGAGACATGAAGACACGGTGCCTTTGAGAAAGCTTGGGGCTCTTAAAAAACACAGTGGTCTGTTGTCAGGGCCACGTTTTGGCAAATCTGAATGTGCCTTAAAGGATGATCAAGGACTGGGGGTTGGGATGGTGGAAAGATGACTGTGTGTGTGTGTG